TAAAAGGAGCACCGCTTTCCTTTGTCAATTTTATTAGGTATTTAGTAGAGTATGCAATTTCATTATCGTTGCTCCTTATGTTGTTTCAAGGATGCCTTTCCAACACTAATCTCCCACGATGTCACCGTGAGCCCGCACCTAAACTAGCCTTATTAAGAAGTACTCTGACTCGATTGATAGAGAAGTCAGACATTCCTTTACTTTCGAGCGCACCATCACTCCCTTTAGCAGGGAGTCTACCGCTTCCTTAATGACAGATATTTCCACCTGAAAGACACTGCAAAAGCCCGAAAGCCTGAACATTGTTTTGGTGGAGAGTCTCCGTAATATGACACTTCCACCAACCTTGTCTCACAAGTTTTGATTCGTCCGTGAAGAAGTTCATCGCTCACCTTCTTCGATTAACCCCGCCCTACCCAGTCCTCTTGAGGAAATATAGGTAGAGAAGAGCTTCTGGGAGCCATTTTGGCGCTATAATCTATGCATTCAGGGCGATTCCCCTGAGCCTAATAGCAGTTCGTGCTGCGAAAATTCTGTCTGCAATATCCGTAGCCGCCGTATTCAACATGGCGTTAAGCGCGAGTGTAGTAGAGGTGGCAGATATTTGCGTACCTGTGACTTTGTCACGGTTACTCAAAAGTCACGGGTAACTGATGTGACAACTTCCAAAAAGTCACCGTGACAAAGAAACAGTCGCAATGATGTTTTTGTAGTAGCAGTAAAGCTGATGCCAGATAAAACGCTTGCTTCGCTTTGCGTGACAGTTTCGCTTTGACAGATAAGATGAATTGTATGAAAATGCACAAAGCATGCCCCATAGATCGTTGCAGCTGCAGCGCCAAGCGAAAAGATGGCCAACTCCCATTTTGACAATCAGCCAGTTTGATACTATTTATTTTGTTTCGTTAAAATTCGAGTTTTCATGCAGAAACATAAAACTTAATTATATTGCTGATATTTTTAAAGCTAAATAAGTATATAAAATCCACAGCAATTTTGACGAGTAAAAAGGCGTTCATTGTGGCATACCTTTGGCGTCTGGTGCTTTGCTGGAAAACTTATAAATGTCATGCAAAGCCACAAAGTTTTATCTGGCATCAGCTTAACAGTCACAGTCACTACTACGAACTGTGACTGCGCTAAAGTAGCAGTAACAATTACATATCGAGAAACTGCGACTAGTTATTTAAGACTAAAATCTGATAAATGTTGTTTGATATTAGAATTTCACATCATTAAAAACGAGTATGAATGACCAAAAAACGAGGAAAGTAGTCAGTGATGCCAAATAAATAATGCCCTTAGTTCACTCGGTAAAAGATTCCTGTTTGCAATTTATTTGCCACTGTTTTTGTCAGTCACGGATGAAAATCACTGACTGCAAAGTCACTGTCACAAATAACGTTGTTCCTCAAAAGTCACGAGATTGCCCATCTCTAGAGTGTAGGTATAGTGCTCCACTAATTCCGAGATGGTTTTTACAGTGTAGCCTTATCTAGTAAGCTCCACCAGACAAGGGCTCCTTGAAAAAAGATAGGCTTAACCCTGGGATTCAGTCTCATCTCAAGTCACTAAATTTGAGATTAGCAATTAGTGACTATTTTTGTGACTTGAGACGATTTGGGTATTCAGAAGGAGAGAGTCACAAAAAGTTCACCAAAAATGTGTGGTGAAAGCAAAGACAGACAATCAACTGATAGGTTTATGTATGCTTTTTGCCCGCGCCGCTCAAAGAGTCGCAATGGCCGAGTGGCCAAAGCATTAGGCTGGCAGCCGAGAGGGTCCGGGTTCAAGTACTCCTCGGCCGTAGAGGATTTTTTATATTTTTTTTTGTATTTAGTATTTTTGTTATTTTTTTATTAGTTTTATTTTTTTTAACAATCTTTAGATTTTAATGTTTTAAAATCAAAAAAATTAAATTTTTTTCAATACATTTGTATGATATTAAAGCATTTTGGTTTATTTCCTAATGAAATTATTGTTGAACAAATTTCCTCGCTTCATTTTCCCGTTTTTTTTTTAATAAAATGGAAAGAAATAAGCTTTTCCTCCATACTTCTATTTTTGTGACTGCCAGCTGACAAATTAGTGACTTATTTTTGAGACTAGAGACGTGCGACAGCGTACTGAATACCAAATAGTCTCAAAATCCAAGCTCACCACCAAAAGTCACTATTTTTGACTAGAGACCGCTTACTGAATGCCTGGGTAAATATGGTTTCATAGAGCTAAATAATTTCTTTAGGCGAGAGACCTCACCTGCTACCGATAGCTCCCCTATAGTGGTACAAGGCAACCGACGTCTTTCTTACATTTTCCTCAATGTTAGGCTTCCACTACAGCCTCCCTCCAGGAGCAAGCACTTGACCTTCTCTAAGAGCTGCAGACGACCGCCCCCACTCGAGGGAAGGGCCACAACGGGTATCGTGTACTTCCTGGTAAACAAGACCAGTTCCGTCATGCTGGAATTTACAGCGATTCCGCCGTTGATCGCCCACCTAATTACCTGGTTCAGGTAACAGTGAGTCAGGTAAAAAGGGGTGTCTAGAAATCGTCCCTTAACTAAAAGTTCCACATTATCTACATATGCGATCACCCGACAGCCCACTTTTTCCAGTTCCAGTTAGAAGGTCGTTTACAACCGCAATCCAGAGCAGGAGAGAGAGAACACCACCTTGCGGAACGCCCCTGTTGACTCCACAGTTCCGTCACGAAGCTGTACATAAGCCTTATTAGGTTTGTTTCAACCCCCAGATTATGAATAGATTTGACTATTTCCTCTGGAGTGACATTGTTGATATCGAGGAAAGTCCCTTCTGAATAACCTTTATGCGTGAAAGCTTCCCCTAATCACTTTACTAATGTGTGCAGGGCGGTATCAACCGACCTTTCCTTGCATTAAGCATGTTGAGCTCTTGAAAGACAGTCACGGAGCATCGCGTTTCTTATGTACAGGTCTATCAGTATCTCTATCGTTTTTAGCAAAAACGAAGACAGAATGATAGGCCTAAAATCCCTAGGGGAAACATGAGAGCCTTTTCCGGCCTTCGAGATGAACGCAACACTGACTACCTTCCAAGCCTAGGGGTTGTACCCGATCCTCACGCAGTTGACTTAAATAGGAGCCAACCAATTACACGACAGCTCCAGAGCCCTCTGCAGCTGTGCAGGTGAGACGCCACCCGTCCCCGACTTGAAGGGTATGAACGAATTTATCGCAAAGACCATGTGACGACCGTCCAGAAGATCGGAGAAGTACAGGGCCTAAAGTATAAAATATTGCAAAGAAGTACATTTGACTGAAGTACAAGAGCTAAAAAAGAAGTACTGTACTACCGAAAGAAATACGGTTGGTCACATTATTCATACTCCACCAAAAACATAAAAATCAAATCTCCAAACTTTCTGCAAAACTCAGGAAAATTCAATAAATTTGCATACTAATTTGCAACTTTTTATGCAGATTTTTCAGTATGATTCTAAGAATGCAGTTTTATAGCCCATTTGATTTTAGTATAAGAAAGTGAAAGTGTGAAGTTCCTAGAAAATCGCGTTGATTTTTGGCAATTTTTTTAGTGGAAGGTGTTGCTCATTTTATCCATACAAAAACTAAATGCCGAACATACTTTATATGGAAGAACCTGCGTGAAAAAACTGCCAAAAATCAACGCGATTTTCTAGCAACTTCAAACTTGGACTTTCTTATACTAAAATGGGCTATAAAACTGCATTCTTAGAAATTTTCTAAAAAATCTGAAAAAATAGTTGCAAGTTAGTATGCAAATTTATTGAATTTTCCTGAGTTTTGCACAAAGTTTGGAGATTTGATTTTTATGTTTTTTGGTGGAGTATAAACCATATTTTTATAAAAAATAATCGCAAGTAAATAAGAATAAAAAACTTTGGATATATTGTGAAAACTTCACTGTGTCAATACTTTTGTTCATCACTGTACATACATATGTCATCTTTGAATTTGTAATTAATTTTCGAATTTAGAAAGTGTGATCTTTCAAACCGAATTAGTTACCTACTTTTGTTGATTTTCTTTAGCTTGTAGTATTTTTTATGAACTTTGGCTATGTCGTGGAAATTTAACGAGAAACTTAAAGCTGAATTAGTGGTGCCATACTATAGCCATAACCATAACCATACCGATTATGTTCCGATAAAACGTACGCGGAGCTCTGTAAACGATTAATGGTGCCATACTATAACACCATAGCCATAACCATAACCGTAGCTCTGAAGTATTTTGCTACGTTATGGCTAAGGCGTTATGGTTATGGAACCTCTAATGTGGGCTTTACGCTGCACCTATCTTGGAGGATTTAGATATTGTGAAGTTGAAATGTAAAATGTTTGCAAAATATGACTGATGTATAACTAATACAAAAAAGAATACTAAAAATACTTTCTAGCCAAACGCATTACTTGCATTGATATAGTTACTCAACTTACTTTGCATTCAATAAGTATAAAGTCGTAGTGGATATCTTTTAATAAATATATACTGCTGTAAAATGGGCCTAATTAATTACATGTCAGATTGTGAAAACATACAATAACTTATATAGATAATAATAAACACATTTTTTAAGTATTATGCTTCCTCTTTTTGGTTACCTCCACTTAAATACACATCGTCGATTGGAACTTAAAACTGCGTACACACCAAATGCAATACCACGTATAAGAAGGTATGAAATTTTCACAAAAGAGCAAAAAAAAAAAAACTTTCTTCAATCTCTTGAATCATGATCTAACTGAATTTACTACATATGAGCTTCTATTATTCTATTGTGTACTATTCAATTTATAGAGTAGACTGCTATATAGACAGGGTAATGAATTAAAATTTTTTTCTGTGCTGTATCATACGTGGAATTACATTTGGCGGATACGAGATATTAGTTGCCAAGCGATGATATATAATAAAAGTACCACAAAGTTATATCGTTATGCAAGTATGTGAACCGAGCTATTCTAAACGTTTGCAGAGCCTTACTGTGGAGAATTACACTAAACAGAATATGTCAAGCACGATACCGATATTACAGCGGAAGCATCCGGTTAGCACTCTACATAAAACTTCAACCAACAACGTGACATTGGATAACCCTGTTGTGCTCGAACAGCAGCTGGAAGCTTTGACCCATCACAAACGACAACTGGAGAAAAAAGGTCTATTTCTGCAACAACCAAGAAAAAATGAAATACCATCAACAGATGTAACAGGCTTTCCGAAACTATTGGCGAATTGTCAAGCAAATGATAACTACACATCAGGTGTTATTTATTCAAATGTGCGTTCAACACCGGACAAATTAGAATCATCGGTTTCTTCATTGACTCTCAATCCTATGAGCGATAATGCAAAATACTCTGATGAAGCTAATTCGGAAAGATATATTGCAAAACGTATAACGGATTCCAAAACTATGCGCTATAATGACGAAAATGCTGACAGAAATCAACTAGATAGTCCAATTTTTCGGAAGCAGAATGAATTTTACTCAAACATGGTGTTCGAGGAAAGTAAGCAAGGTAAGTTGGTCTTCTAACTGTTTATTTTTTAGCTTCGTTAAACTACAAGTTAATTAGTTAATGAGGGAGATTATATTTGCGTACAATGAAATTAGTGCACACATTTTTACTGGTTAAACTTTTCAAAACCAAATTATTTATTTTTTTTTTTAATAAGATACCTCTGGAAAATACTACTGGACTAAAGAAATAAAAATGAGTTCGATTTTTCAAGCTAAATCCAAATTAGACTTTCAAAACCTTCGCGTCAAGGAATTCGGTTTCGTGATTTTTTATAAAGTATGGCGAATATATAGGGAAGGAAAGTATCGAAAGAAGTACAATACTCTCAAGCTAGAAAAGTTAAAAAGTAGGGCTAAAGGCACACAAGGTCCAGGAAGTTGCAGATATAAAATCAATAAAGAACATCGAAGCAAAGGAGCGAGGCAAATGACTTCACCGTGATTTCATAAGGAATTTCGATTGCTGCGTTATCGATGATGTACCACGACATATGTACTTGACGACTTTTCGCAGCTTCCGGGCACCGATGTTTTTTGTCGCAAACCTTGGGGAAAATGTCCAAGAGAAGCATAAAATCCAAAAAAGACAAAGCTTCCAACGAAGTGTTTGGTATGGCAGGCAATATGCCATTTAAACCAAAAAGTATTTTAGCATTTGTACCCAGACATGGGAGTGCAGCGAACCTCCATGAGCTCAGACCCATTGAACGGTATTGGGCTCTGGTGAAAAGGGTTTTGACGGACACAAAGCAGGTTGCTAAAACAACTAAAAAATTCTCAAAAAAAAATAAATAGATTTTTTCCAAAAAAAAAACAATACTCCATAAAAAGCCTAATGTGTTGCATTTCGGAAAAAGTTAATTTGTTTATACAAAAACAATAATGAACATAGTATTTGTAATAAATGTCAATATGAATTGGATTTCTCCTGATAAAATTTGTTGTTCCTTTTAATTCATCAAGTACTTTAAAAGTAACTGGTATATCTTTGTGCACCAATTTCATGGTGATATGTATGTAGCAACTCTGACGAATTTCCATTGAATAGACAAGCATACCTAATTTTAAATATGTGGTAACCGCGGTGCTCACAGCGAAACACTTTTTTTGTTATTCATATATTTTATATTATATATTTAAGCATATACATATAGCTGTCTCAAACGTCAAGCTGTGAAGTCGTATTTAACGTATGCGGAGTGAATTACGAATTGATGCAGTAAAAACAAACAGCCGTACTTTAGGATGACACAAATATTAGGTCCATTCAATAACTTTTCCAGTAAGTACTTGCAGCGAGAGCGTAGAAGAAAAATTGAGAGCAAGAGAAAATTTTCAGAAAAAGTTATTGAACGCAAAACTAGTAAAAACTTGCAACTTAAGCCATTTTAACAATTTCTGACGGTTAAGTTTAGGCGCGCAATTTTCTTTTTAATTGGGAATAGTTCCCATCGTCATAAAAATAATAAATATACAATAGATTTAAATTTTTCATCTATATTTTCATTTCACTAATTATGTTTTATCAAATCATCCTCTTAAACAGTTTGTTTACATTTGAATTCGAAACATAACCTTACTTTTTGACTCCTGCAAATTCCTGCTAGTAAAGTTTTTACGCTCTCGAATTCGCTCTCTCTTGCAAATATTTTGGGTTATTGAATGCATTTCCAGTACAAACTTGTAAGTACTAGTAACAATTCGTAACACTTTTTTGATATTGAATGGACCTATTGTTTTCCCACTCACATAGATATTGCCGAAATTTCCGAAAAGCACTTTTATAGAAAAGACTCATGTCCTTAACGATTGGCCTGTTTAAGTTTTCAGGCATAGTCCGGAGGGCTTTTTTTAAAATATTATTTTGGGACTTTATTCTCCCAATTTGAGTTTTTATTTTTTAAGTCATTTAGACGATAATTAGTTCATAGTTATATTTAGGTGGTCTCATTTCGCTGCTATGTGAAACATCTTTTTTCGCACTCGTGGGGTGTCCTTCTAGTAAATAAAGTTTCTTTGTAAATAAAGTTTTTTTTTTAAGTCTCATAGAGAAAAAATGGAAAAGCACGTTACTTTTCGTGATATTGAGTTTCGGTATACAAAATTTACAAGCAAATTTTCAGAGTTTGCTCGCTTTCAAGGAAATTATTTCAGCATTATAATATACAACGAGGTAATTTTAAGTGGAATGCTTGCTATGATTGCGCAGTAGATTTTGGTATACTTGGTTTGGCTCCTGTGTTTACCATGATTTTTTTAAATCTGCTTAGAAATTGTCCGTATTTCATTCCGTATACGTTATATTGTGCTCTAATTTACCTTTGTATTTTCCAAGGTTTTTGTGCTAAAGTTGATTTAAAGTACTGATAAAAAGTGCCAATGAGCATTTTGGTGTGCAAATAAAGCTAACCCAGTAAGAACCCTATCTGTTAACTAATGCGTTATATACGCCTAGTACTACAAAAAGTTTGTGTGAGAAATTCAAAAACTTTCCATCATTTTACATAGGGCTCCTGGAGAAATCTAACGCATAATCGTTTCACGTGCGAGCAGTTTTCTCTTTCTTTTATATGGATTTCGCTATTATATTATCCTATATATAGTGATCTCTTTTCAATCAAATATTATTATGCGATTAATAACGTGTTATATAACGCAAAGAATGGCATATGGATATCGGTAATATACAAATGTGTTGGTTTTTATTGACAATTTTGTAAGTGAGAATACGTTAGGTCGTTCTTGCTGGGAAGTTGAATGTTATTATTGTGATTTTTATTGTTATTTTGTGTTATTGATTGGAATCAATTTAATTAAATTTCATTTACTTGTAATCTTGCCAAGTCATCTGTGAATTGATAATTTCTTTGTAACTGCAATTGTTTTTATTCTCCCACACTTGTTTTGCTCTTTCTAACCGACTTCACAAAAGGGAGGAAGGTTATCAATTCGTCGGAATATTTTATTTTATTTTTTTTTATGTATGTTACCGCATAACTTTAGACCACGTTAACCGATTTCTATAATTCTTTTTGCAAAGGAAAGGTGTTACCTCACAGGTGGCCCCATCCTCATGTGGTTTAAATCCGGCCATTGCATCATGAAGAGATTAACGACAATCTTAAATTTTTATATGAGAATTGAAGTCGGCTTATTTTTTGCTTAAAAATTACTTGTTTTAGTAATACTTGTCTTAGTAGTGGTATTCATCTAAGCCGATAACGACTCTGTTACATGAACGCCCCATTCTCTCAGTATCAGTAATTTTATACTACTAGCACGGGCATTAAGAAATTTTAGAAATGACCTCACTAAATGGGAACAAATTATATTTAGACGAGATAATATTCATTTAAATAAATATTTAACATAAAGGCGATTTATTTGAAGCAAGTTAAAAAAAAAAAACAATGGCAGAATGTCTGTTTGAGTACGAATTAATTTGTCACTGCTACCAAACTGTGCGGGCAAATTATCAGTGAAACAAAACAAACAGAACGGATAATAAATTGAACCAGATCTCTATCAGGTTCATATCTTTGTTGTTGAATTTGCGTCGAAAATTTTTATGAGGATCCCGATTATTGCCCAAGAAAAGACAGCTAGAGTTGCAACAGAGTTGCATTGGCTTCAGAGTATCAAGTTTATTCAGTGAAATCGCTGGAGAAATGTGTAAACGAGTTTCCATCCAAATTTTGACAGTTAACATATAGTTATAAATTTATACGGTTTATAATGCATTTATACGGTTTGATCAATATCCTTAGTGATTCTGAAACTTTTCGCTATATATCTTTTAAAGCTTAATACATCAGCTCATTTTAATTAACCTTTTAACAGTTATTAAGAATATTGTTAGCCTTCTTTATAAAATGTTTCCTATGAAGTGTGATCTTGATAATTGTTAAGTTAAAAGCGATTCTGAACGCTACTTATCGTGCTGGCGTTGTGATGGTATTTGCCATCGGAAGTGTGCTAGTTTGACAGGAAGGATTCTGTACGCTATTAGTGATGGCAAGGGTCTTGTTGTCGTTGTTGTAGCGGCTACTAAACTCCGCTCGAGTCGGATCATCCGTCATCGTTGTCGTCTGGCTCAGCTAAGGGGAGGCTCGGGAAGTGCGCAACTTCCCCCGGGTTGTCCATAGGGACATGCGATGAGGTGCCGTGTGGCGGCGCTCCGCATGCCGGACACTCGTTGGGCACATCTTTCACTCTGCTCAGGTACAAGTATAACCTGCTGCAATATCCAGAGCGAAGTTGGGATATGGCAAGGGTCTTCGCTGGTCTTGCTTAAAGTGCAGGTCAACCGAAATTGATCTTTTTAAGTAGTTTAGGCAAACCAGAAATGGTTTTCCAAAAGTAGGAAAATCATCACACATTTCATATTACATACGCTATTAGTAAACGTGAAGATTGTAAGACAAATTATTACAATAAAGAACTTGTGAGGACCAAATATCCCTGAGGAATTTGGCCCACACAAAGACCCACCACCAGCAACAAAAGTCAAAGCAGCCAGTCACGCAATGAGCCACAGCAACACAATCAGATCAGCCAGCCACGCAACAAGCCACAGCAACACAAGTAATAGCAACACCCGACAACCTCTTCGTTGTGATGACAACGCAACATCACACAGCAAAATGTAGCTGCACGACCACGAAACATCAAGCGCACAGCCTATTAGAGGAGCAGCCCGACGGGAAAGCGGTCAGTCAGCACGGAGTTATGGTCGTGACGACAGCTACGACTGAACGGGATTGCTTGTGCATCGTTGATAACACAACAAGACATCATCGCTTCACAAGTAGAGAGTTGAGAGCGCACCGCAGCATATCGTGAAGCCGCATACGGGCGGCCAAGAGCGCCACTAACCGGCGCGACTAGAGCGCTGCTCTCCAACGTCACCAGAGCGCCACTTGCCGGCGCGACTAGAGCGCTGCTCTTCGACGTTAGCTGAGCGCGACCAGAGCGCCTTTCACCGCCGTTGCTATAGCG